AGCTATTGGAGACCTCCCAAAACCTCCAGAACTCTCCAGAACCCTCCCATACCTCCTAACCCCTCCGCGCTCCCCCTAAAACCTCCACAACTCCCCATACATCCGAAACCCTCGCACTGCTCCCAAATCCTCCGGAACCCTCCCACCCCCCCTAAATTTTCGGAAGACTTCCCAAAACCTCCAGAACCCTCCAGAACCCTCCCATACCTCCTAACCCCTCCGCACTCCCCCCACCCCCCACCCCCATGCACCCGAAACCCTCGCACTGCTCCCAAATCCTCCGGAACCCTCCCAACCCCCTTAAATTTTCGGAAGACTTCCCAAAACCTCCAGAACCCTCCAGAACCCTCCCATACCTCCTCCCCCCACCCCCCACTCCCATGCATCCGAAACCCTCGTTCGCACTGCCCCCAAATCCTCCGGAACCCTCCCACACCCCCTAAACTTTTGGAAGACTTCCCAAAACCTCCAAACCCTCCAGAACCCCCCCCTACCTTCTAACCCCTCCGCGCTCCCCCCAAAACCTCCACAACTCCCCATGCATCCGAAACCCTCGCACTGCTCCCAAATCCTCCGGAACCCTCCCAAACTCTTTCTACTTTCGGAGGACTTCCCAAAACCTCCAGAACCCTCCAGAACCCCCAAGTCCTCTCCACCCCTCCGCCCCCCGCTTCCAGAGCCCTCGGAGTGCGGTGGATTCAGGGAGAGGGAATCGGCCTCGCTTGCACTCTTGGGACAAATTGCATCGGTTTTCCCGCTCCGACCCAGACAGGTTTTGGGGCAATCTTGGGCCATTTGGCAGTTCCAGCCCCTGTTTGGGTTGTCTTGGGAATGTCGTCGATGTCCAGTTGGTGGGCATACCTTTCCCTCCCCCTCCCTCCCCCTTCCTCGGACCAGTCGGTGCTCGCAGGCACGTTGAGACTCACGTCCTGTGGTGCTCTGTAGCTGTTGCGGTGCTCTGAGGTGCTTTCGAGTTCTGTGGTGCTCTGAGGCTGTTGCGGTGATCATCAGCCTTGTAGCGCCCACAGGCGCTTCGGCTCAAGCCGTTCTTACTTAATGGGCTCTGAGGTGCTCTCAGGCTTTGAAGTGGTGCTCACAGCCGTCCTGGTGCTCATGGCCATTGGTGCTTAAAACCACTGCAGCTGCCTTGTGGCTCAAGTCTTATAGGAAGAACCGTACGGACCTTGGCACCTGTCACTGGGAGTACCGTGCACTGCAATGCTCACAGACCCCTCTATGCCGAGGCGCCGCTTGCGGCAGAAGACGGACACGGGGTACGTGGTGCCGTCTCCCCCAGTCCCGTCCGCAGGCGTGGACGCCGAGGCCGTCGAAACCAAAGCCATCCGGGACGCCTTGAAGGCCGTCTTAGTAGGCAAGGACTTAAAACACATTTCGTTGCGTGAGTGTCGCCGCCAGGTCGCTTTGAAACTCGGTTTGCAAGAGCATGCTTTGGACCAACGCAAGCACGAGTTCAAGAGCCTGACAACCGAGGTCGTTTCGGAAACGCAGCCCGACCAGGACGCCGCGTCGCCTCTGGAGACCGTGTTGGCTGAGGCCGAGAAGCTGGACTCGTTGCAGTGGGTATACTTGGTGACCATATCGCGCGTCCTGGACGCGACCCTTCCCGACGGCCGCCAGCACACCCGAGTCTAACTTAACTAACTTTGGCACGATGAAGTTGTTTTTCTTTTGGAGAAGCAAGTGGACGTACGCATTCAAACAATCCGATTCCCGAACTGGGGGGAGCCGCGCGGGCCGGCCGCCCTAGGGGGGAGTCGTGATTGACGTGGATGTTATTGGGTGTGTTGGGGAACCGGACGGCCAAGCGCTCGTGTCCATGGCGGTGGTGTTCCAGGAGAAGCACAAAGACGGCGCGATCCATTTCCACGTTGCTGTGAAGCTGACTAGGTCGGGCTGTTTCCAGCAGGCCAAGCGCACTCTGCGTGAGCGCCATTTGTTGCCGAGCCATTTCTCTGGTTCCCACCGGCGAATGTGGAGCGCCGTGAGGTACGGGCATATGGAGACCCCAGCCAAACCAGATGTCGACGACGCCCCGTGGGTGTGGCAGCCAGACTGGGCTGGGTTCGCGCGCGAGAACGACGCCATCGACCTCTTCGAGATGTCGCAGGAGCCATACATGGCAGGCGCGTGGGTGAAGCGCCGGGAGGCCACGGACAAGGCGGCCGGGGCGATGGGCACGAAGACGACGTTCGAACTCGTAGACTTGACGTCGACCATCATCGCCAAGCACTTGTGGGCGAAGGACAGCCTGATGGCGTACGTCCAGGACCGCGGGACGAAGGCCATGCAGGGGTTCGTCCGCAGCCGATTGCGCAAGCTGACGGCGGACCTTGAAGAGACGAAGGAGTGGGCGTCTGCCCGCGAGAACGCGGCCTTCGAGGCGGTGGACGATTGGACGCTCGTGTGCCGCTGCGCTGAGGAGACATGCCCCCATGGCCCGGCGTGCTCGTACAGGTCAGCCGTGGAGACCATCTTCTCCCGCAACGCCGCTTCTTTCGACGTTCGGGAGCTCGCGGCGTCTCTGCGGGACATTCTGATGGTCGGCCCGAAGAAGACGACGAGGGTGCCCTTCCTGGTGGGGCCGTCGAATTCCGGGAAGAGCACGGTGGTTTACCCTTTCGACGACTTGTTTACTCCGAAACGGGTTCTGCACAAGCCTGCCTTGGGCCCCTCCTTTGGACTCCGGAACCTGGCCAGCGGCACGAAGCGGTTCATCTTCTGGGACGACTTCCGGCCGGTTGAGTTCGCCCACGAGAAGACCGTCCCCGTCTCTTTGTTCCTGTCTCTGTTCGTCGGCCAGCACACCGAGATCCAGATTTCCCAGTCCTTCAACGACGGGAACAAGGACGTCTGCTGGAACCACGGCGCCGTTTTCACGGGCAAGCTGGAGGGCCTCTGGGAGACGACGAATAAGGTGGGTGCGGAGGACATCCGGCACATGCAGAACCGCGTGAGGCAGTTCCCATTCACCTCCGTCTTGTCGGACGGCTCTTTGCAGGACGTGCTCTCGTGTGCTCCGTGCATGACCGCGTGGATCGTCCGGGAGGCGGCAAAGTTCGACGCCGTCGGCGTTTTCCGCCCGGCGCCCGCTGCGCCGGCCGCGGCAGACGCGGGCGTGCCGCCTGTGAGCGGCTTCGACGACCTCATGTCCGACGCGCGCATACCCCGCGCGCAGGCAGACGCCTTGCTGGCGGATGTCCGCGCGATGGGTGCGGTTGCCGTGGACGAGGTACTCCCCGCGGACTGGGTCTGTCTGAATTCGTGGGCCTTGCTGCTCCCGCTCCAGAAGCGCAGACTTCTTGGGCAAATCGGCTCTCCGGTTTCGCCCTGA